TTATTATTTCATTGTTTCCCTTCTATGTGGTGATTTTACCGAAAGAACCAAAAATAATAATTTTATTGTTTTATATTTTTATTATTTCATTGTCTCCCTTCTACGTGGTGGTGACTTTACCGAAAGAACCAAGAATATTAGTTTTATTGTTTTATATTTTTATTATTTTATTGTTTCCCTTCTAACGTGGTGGTGACTTTACCGAAAGAACCAAGAATATTAATTTTATTGTTTTATATTTTTATTATTTTATATTTTTATTATTTTATTGTTTTATATTTTTATTATTTTTATTGTTTCCCTTCTACGTGGTGGTGACTTTACCGAAAGAACCAAGAATAATAATTTTAATTGTTTTATATTTTTATTATTTTATTGTTTCCCTTCTACGTGGTGGTGACTTTACCGAAAGAACCAAGAATATTAATTTTATTGTTAATATTTTTATTATTTTATTGTTTCCTTCTAACGTGGTGGTGGCTTTAACGAAAGAACCAAGAATATTAATTTTATTGTTTGATATTTTTATTATTTTATTGTTTCCCTTCTACGTGGTGGTGACTTTACCCAAAGAACCAAGAATAATCATTTTATTGTTTTATATTTTTATTATTTTATTGTTTCCCTTCTAACGTGGTGGTGACTTTACCCAAAGAACCAAGAATAATTCTATTGTTTTATATTTTTATTATTTTATTGTTTCCCTTCTAACGTGGTGGTGACTTTACCGAAAGAACCAAGAATATTAATTTTATTGTTTTATATTTTTATTATTTTATATTTTTATTATTTTATTGTTTTATATTTTTATTATTTTATTGTTTCCCTTCTACGTGGTGGTGACTTTACCGAAAGAACCAAGAATAATAATTTTATTGTTTTATATTTTTATTATTTTATTGTTTCCCTTCTACGTGGTGGTGACTTTACCGAAAGAACCAAGAATATTAATTTTATTGTTTAATATTTTTATTATTTTATTGTTTCCCTTCTAACGTGGTGGTGGCTTTAACGAAAGAACCAAGAATATTAATTTTATTGTTTGATATTTTTATTATTTTATTGTTTCCCTTCTACGTGGTGGTGACTTTACCCAAAGAACCAAGAATAATCATTTTATTGTTTTATATTTTTATTATTTTATTGTTTCCCTTCTAACGTGGTGGTGACTTTACCCAAAGAACCAAGAATAATAATTCTATTGTTTTATATTTTTATTATTTTATTGTTTCCCTTCTAACGTGGTGGTGACTTTTCCCAAAGAACCAAGAATAATAATTTTATTGTTTTACAATAATTCTATTATTTTATATTTTTATTATTTATTGTTTGCCTTCTACGTGGTGGTGACTTTACCGAAAAGAACCAAGAATAATTAATTATATTATTTTATATTTTTATTATTTTATTGTTTCCCTTCTACGTGGTGGTGACTTTACCCAAAGAACCAAGAATAATAATTTTATTGTTTTATATTTTTATTATTTTATTGTTTCCCTTCTAACGTGGTGGTGACTTTACCCAAACAACCAAGAATAATAATTCTATTGTTTTATATTTTTATTATTTTATTGTTTCCCTTCTAACGTGGTGGTGACTTTTCCCAAAGAACCAAGAATAATAATTTTATTGTTTTACAATAATTCTATTATTTTATATTTTTATTATTTATTGTTTGCCTTCTACGTGGTGGTGACTTTACCGAAAGAACCAAGAATATTAATTATATTATTTTATATTTTTATTATTTTATTGTTTCCCTTCTACGTGGTGGTGACTTTACCCAAAGAACCAAGAATAATAATTTTATTGTTTTATATTTTTATTATTTTATTGTTTCCCTTCTAACGTGGTGGTGACTTTACCCAAAGAACCAAGAATAATAATTCTATTGTTTTATATTTTTATTATTTTATTGTTTCCCTTCTAACGTGGTGGTGACTTTTCCCAAAGAACTAAGAATAATAATTTTATTGTTTTACAATAATTCTATTATTTTATATTTTATTATTTATTGTTTGCCTTCTACGTGGTGGTGACTTTACCGAAAGAACCAAGAATATTAATTATATTATTTTATATTTTTATTATTTTATTGTTTCCCTTCTACGTGGTGGTGACTATACCGAAAGAACCAAGAATATTAATTCTATTATCTTATATTTTTATGATTTTATTGTTTCCCTTCTACGTGGTGACTTTACCGAAAGAACCAAGAATAATAATTTTATTGTTTTATATTTTTATTATTTTATTGTTTCCCTTCTAACGTGGTGGTGACTTTACCAAAAGAACCAAGAATAATAATGTTATTGTTTTATATTTTTATTATTTTATTGTTTCCCTTCTACGTGGCGGTGACTTTACCGAAAGAACCAAGAATATTAATTCTATTATCTTATATTTTTATTATTTTATTGTTTCCCTTCTACGTGGTGACTTTACCGAAAGAACCAAGAATAATAATTTTACTGTATTATATTTTTATTATTTATTGTTTCCCTTCTACGTGGTGACTTTACCCAAAGAACCAAGATATTAATTCTATTATCTTATATTTTTATTATTTATTGTTTCCCTTCTACGTGGTGACTTTACCGAAAGAACCAAGAATAATAATTCTATTGTTTCATATTTGTATTATTTTATTGTTTCCCTTCTAACGTGGTGGTGACTTTACCGAAAGAACCAAGAATAATAATTTTATTGTTTACAATAATTTACTGTTTTATATTTTTATTATTTTATTGTTTCCCTTCTACGTGGCGACTTTACCGAAAGAACCAAGAATAATAATTTTATTGTTTGAAATTTTTATTATTTTATTGTTCCCTTCTACGTGGTGACTTTACCGAAGAACCAAGAATAATAATTTTATTGTTTTACAATAATTCTATTATTTTATATTTTTATTATTTTATTGTTTCCCTTCTAACGGTGGTGGTGACTTTACCCAAAGAACCAAGAATAATAATTTTATTGTTTTATATTTTATTATTTTATTGTTTCCCTTCTACGTGGTGGTGACCTTTACCCAAAGAACCGGCGAGGTACTCCCCCCGTTCACTACAGCATCCCCCTCCCCACCGCCACCGCCAGGTGCGGGCCGTTGCCACGACAACGCCCCTGCCACGCGTCAACGGCTTCGTGCCCCGGCGGCTGCGCGCGCGGTTACCATGGAGACGGTTGCCGGGCGCGGTGCCCGGCCGGTCACCATGGAGACGGTTGCCGGGAGCGGTGCCCCGTGAGCTGCGCTGGTGGTGGTGGCGGAGGAGGTGGAGGCGGTGGGGGGGGAGGTGGTAGGGGGGGGAGGTGGTGGGGGGGGGAGGTGGTGGGGGGGGAGGTGGTGGGGGGGAGGAGGGGGTGGGGGGAGCTGTCACCCAGAGACGGGGGAGTGTGAGGTGGGGTGCCTGGCCGGGTGGAGAGGAACTCGGTGAGACGCACGGGGGGAGGGGGGAGGGGACACGGGGGAGGGGAGACACGGGGGAGACACGGGGGAGACACGGGGGAGACACGGGGGGAGGGGAGACACGGGGGGAGGGGAGACACGAGGGAGACACGAGGGAGACACGGGGGGAGGGGGAGACACGGGGGGAGGGGAGACACGGGGGAGACACGGGGGAGACACGGGGGGAGGGGAGACACGGGGGGAGGGGAGACACGAGGGAGACACGGGGAGACACGGGAGGAGGGGGAGACACGGGGGGAGGGGAGACACGGGGGGAGGGGAGACACGAGGGAGACACGGGGGGAGGGGGGGGGGGAGGGGAGACACGGGGGGAGGGGAGACACGGGGGGAGGGGAGACACGAGGGAGACACGGGGGAGACACGGGGGAGGGGAGACACGGGGGAGACACGGGGGAGACACGGGGGGAGGGGAGACACGGGGGGAGACACGGGGGAGGGGAGACACGGGGGGAGGGAGACACGGGGGGACACGGGGGAGACACGGGGGAGACACGGGGGAGGGGAGACACGGGGGGAGGGGAGACACGGGGGAGGGGAGACACGGGGGGAGGGGAGACACGGGGGGAGGGGAGACACGGGGGAGGTGAGACACGAGGGAGACACGGGGGAGACACGGGGGGAGGGGAGACCCGGGGGGAGGGGAGACACGGGGGGAGGGGAGACACGGGGGAGACACGGGGGGAGGGGAGACACGGGGGGAGGGGAGACACGGGGGAGACACGGGAGAGACACGGGAGGAGGGGAGACACGGGGGGAGGGGAGACACGAGGGAGACACGGGGGGAGGGGAGACACGGGGGGAGGGGAGACACGAGGGAGACACGGGGGAGACACGAGGGGAGGGGAGACACGGAGGGAGACACGGGGGAGACACGAGGGAGACACGGGGGAGACACGGGGGGAGGGGAGACACGGGGGAGACACGGGGGGGAGGGGAGACACGGGGGAGACACGGGGGAGGGGAGACACGGGGGAGACACGGGGGGAGACACGGGGGGAGACACGAGGGAGACACGTGGGAGACACGGGGGAGGGGAGACACGGGGGAGGGGAGACACGGGGGAGGGGAGACACGGGGGAGACACGGGGGAGGGGAGACACGGGGGGAGACACGGGGGGAGACACGGGGGGAGACACGGGGGGAGACACGAGGGAGACACGTGGGAGACACGGGGGAGGGGAGACACGGGGGAGGGGAGACACGGGGGAGACACGGGGGAGACACGGGGGAGACACGGGGAGACACGTGGTAGTCACGCATGAGAAGACACGTGGGAGACACGTGGTAGTCACGTGGGAGAAGACACAGGGAGACACGAGGGAGACACGAGGGAGACACGTGGTAGTCACGTGGGAGAAGACACGTGGTAGTCACGTGGTAGTCACGTGGGAGAAGACACGTGGGAGACACAGGGAGACACGTGGTAGTCACGTGGTAGTCACGTGGGAGAAAACACAGGGAGACACGAGGGAGACACGAGGGAGACACGTGGTAGTCACGTGGGAGAAGACACGTGGTAGTCACGTGGTAGTCACGTGAGAGAAGACACTGTCTCTGTCCCCAGCTGTGACGCGCCCTGTGGGAACGGTTCCTATGGAGACGCCTGCGCCCAGCCCTGCCCGCCGTGTTGCCATGGCGACTGTCACCACGTGACTGGCCAGTGCGTGTGCCAGCCCGGTTACCATGGAAACAGGTACCCCATAGCAACCTGTAACTATGGCCATGTGTGTGAGTGAGTCTATGGGTCTCTGTGTGAGTGAGTCTATGGGTCTCTGTGTAAGTGAGTCTGTGGGTCTCTATATGTGAGTGAGTTTGTGGGTCTCTGTGTGAGTGAGTCTATGGGTCTCTGTGTGAGTGAGTCTATGGGTCTCTGTGTGAGTGAGTCTATGGGTCTCTGTGTAAGTGAGTCTGTGGGTCTCTGTGTGAGTGAGTCTGTGGGTGTCTGTGTGAGTGAGTCTATGGCTCTCTGTGTGAGTGAGTCTATGGGTCTCTGTGTGAGTCTATGGGTCTCTGTGTGAGTGAGTCTATGGGTCTCTGTGTGAGTGAGTCTATGGGTCTCTGTGTGAGTGAGTCTATGGGCCTCTGTGTGAGTGAGTCTATGGGTCTCTGTGTGAGTGAGTCTATGGGTCTCTGTGTGAGTGAGTCTATGGGTCTCTGTGTGAGTGAGTCTATGTGTCTCTGTGTGGTGAGTCCATGGGTCTATGTGTGAGTGAGTCTATGGGTCTCTGTGTCAGTGAGTCTATGGGTGTCTGTGTGAGTGAGTCTATGGGTCTCTGTGTGAGTGAGTCTATGGGTCTCTGTGTTAGTGAGTCTGTGGGTCTCTGTGTGAGTGAGTCTATGGGTCTCTGTGTGTGTGAGTCTGTGGGTCTCTGTGTGAGTGAGTCTATGGGTCTCTGTGTGAGTCTATGGGTCTCTGTGTGAGTGAGTCTATGGGTGTCTGTGGGAATGAGTCTATGGGTCTCTGTGTGAGTCTATGGGTCTCTGTGTGAGTGAGTCTATGGCTCTCTGTGTGAGTGAGTCTATGGGTCTCTGTGTGAGTGAGTCTATGGGTCTCTGTGTGAGTGAGTCTATGAGTCTCTGTGTGAGTGAGTCTATGGGTCTCTGTGTGAGTGAGTCTGTGGGTCTCTGTGTGAGTGAGTCTATGTGTCTCTGTGTGAGTGAGTCTATGGGTCTCTGTGTGAGTCTGTGGGCTCTGTGTGAGTGAGTCTGTGGGTCTTTGTGTGGGTGAGTCTGTGGGTTTCTGTGTGGTGAGTCTATGGGTCTCTGTGTGAGTGAGTCTGTGGGTCTCTGTGTGAGTGAGTCTGTAGGTCTCTGTGTGGTGAGTCTATGGGTCTCTGTGTGAGTGAGTCTATTGGTCTCTGTGTGAGTGAGTCTATGGGTCTCTGTGTGAGTGAGTCTATGGGTCTCTGTGTGAGTGAGTCTATGGGTCTTTGTGTGAGTGAGTCTATGGGTCCCTGTGTGAGTGAGTCTATGGGTCTCTGTGTTAGTGATTCTACGAGTCTCTGTGTGATGAGTCTATGGCTGTCTGTGTGGTGAGTCTATGGGTGTCTCTGTGTGAGTCTATGAGTTTCTGTGTGATGAGTCTATGGGTTTCTCTCTGTGATGAGTCTATGGGTTTCTCTGTGATGAGTCTATGGGTTTCTCTCTGTATGATGAGTCTACGGGTGTCTCTGTGTGAGTCTATAAGTCTATGAGTGTCTCTGTGTGATGAGTCTATGCGTGTCTCTGTGTGAGTCTATGAGTCTATGAGTGTCTCTCTGTGATAAGTCTATGGGTGCTTCTGTGTGATGAGTCTATGGATGTCTCTGTGTGAGTCTATGAGTCTATGAGTGTCTCTCTGTGATGAGTCTATGGGTGTCTCTGTGTGATGAGTCTATGGGTGTCTCTGTGTGATGAGTCTTTGGGTGTCTCTGTGTGAGTCTATGAGTGTCTCTGTGTGAGTTTATGAGTCTATGAGTGTCTCTCTGTGATAAGTCTATGGGTGCTTCTGTGTGATGAGTCTATGGATGTCTCTGTGTGAGTCTATGAGTCTATGAGTGTCTCTCTGTGATAAGTCTATGAGTGTCTCTGTGTGATGAGTCTCTGGGTGTCTTTGTGTGATGAGTCTACGGGTGTCTCTGTGTGATGAGTCTATGGGTGTCTCTGTGTGATGAGTCTATGGGTGTCTGTCTGTCTGATGAGTCTATGAGTGCCTCTGTGTGATGAGTCTATGGGTCTCTGTGTGAGTGAGTCTATGGGTCTCTGTGTGAGTGAGTCTATGGGTCTCTGTGTGAGTGAGTCTATGGGTCTCTAGGTGAGTGAGTCTATGGGTCTCTGTGTGAGTGAGTCTATGGGTCTCTGTGTGAGTGAGTCTGTGGGTCTCTGTGTGAGTGAGTCTATGGGTGTCTGTGTGAGTGAGTCTATGGGTCTCTGTGTGAGTGAGTCTATGGGTCTCTGTGTGAGTGAGTCTATGGGTCTCTGTGTGAGTGAGTCTATGGGTCTCTGTGTGAGTGAGTCTATGGGTCTCTGTGTGAGTGAGTCTATGGGTCTCTGTGTGAGTGAGTCTATGGGTCTCTGTGTGAGTGAGTCTATGGGTCTCTGTGTGAGTGAGTCTATGGGTCTCTGTGTGAGTGAGTCTATGGGTCTCTGTGTGAGTGAGTCTGTGGGTCTCTGTGTGAGTGAGTCTATGGGTCTCTGTGTGAGTGAGTCTGTGGGTCTCTGTGTGAGTGAGTCTATGGGTCTCTGTGTGAGTGAGTCTATGGGTCTCTGTGTGAGTGAGTCTATGGGTCTCTGTTGTGAGTGAGTCTATGGGTCTCTGTGTGAGTGAGTCTATGGGTCTCTGTGTGAGTGAGTCTATGGGTCTCTGTGTGAGTGAGTCTATGGGTCTCTGTGTGAGTGAGTCTATGGGTCTCTGTGTGAGTGAGTCTGTGGGTCTCTGTGTGAGTGAGTCTATGGGTCTCTGTGTGAGTGAGTCTGTGGGTCTCTGTTGTGAGTGGGTCTCTGTGTGAGTGAGTCTATGGGTCTCTGTGTGAGTGAGTCTATGGGTCTCTGTGTGAGTGAGTCTGTGGTCTCTGTGTGAATGAGTCGTGGGTCTCTGTGTGAGTGAGTCTATGGGTCTCTGTGTGAGTGAGTCTATGGGTCTCTGTGTGAGTGAGTCTATGAGTGTCTCTGTGTGAGTGAGTCTATGGGTCTCTGTGTGAGTGAGTCTATGGGTCTCTGTGTGAGTGAGTCTATGGGTCTCTGTGTGAGTGAGTCTATGGGTCTCTGTGTGAGTGAGTCTGTGGGTCTCTGCGTGAATGAGTCTGTGGGTCTCTGTGTGAGTGAGTCTATGGGTCTCTGTGTGAGTGAGTCTATGGGTCTCTGTGTGAGTGAGTCTATGAGTGTCTCTGTGTGAGTGAGTCTATGGGTCTCTGTGTGAGTGAGTCTATGGGTCTCTGTGTGAGTGAGTCTATGGGTCTCTGTGTGAGTGAGTCTATGAGTGTCTCTGTGTGATGAGTCTATGGGTCTCTGTGTGTGAGTGAGTCTATGGGTCTCTGTGTGTGAGTGAGTCTGTGGGTCTCTGTGTGAGTGAGTCTATGGGTCTCTGTGTGAGTGAGTCTATGGGTCTCTGTGTGAGTGAGTCTGTGGGTCTCTGTGTGAGTGAGTCTATGGGTCTCTGTGTGAGTGAGTCTATGGGTCTCTGTGTGAGTGAGTCTGTGGGTCTCTGTGTGAGTGAGTCTATGGGTCTCTGTGTGAGTGAGTCTATGGGTCTCTAGGTGAGTGAGTCTATGGGTCTCTGTGTGAGTGAGTCTATGGGTCTCTGTGTGAGTGAGTCTATGGGTCTCTAGGTGAGTGAGTCTATGGGTCTCTGTGTGAGTGAGTCTATGGGTCTCTGTGTGAGTGAGTCTATGGGTCTCTGTGTGAGTGAGTCTATGGGTCTCTGTGTGAGTGAGTCTATGGGTCTCTAGGTGAGTGAGTCTATGGGTCTCTGTGTGATGAGTCTATGGGTCTCTGTGTGATGAGTCTGTGGGTCTCTGTGTGAGTGAGTCTATGGGTCTCTGTGTGAGTGAGTCTGTGGGTCTCTGTGTGAGTGAGTCTATGGGTGTCTGTGTGAGTGAGTCTATGGGTCTCTGTGTGAGTGAGTCTATGGGTCTCTGTGTGAGTGAGTCTATCGGTCTCTGTGTGAGTGAGTCTATGTGTCTCTGTGTGATGAGTCTATGATTCTCTCTCTGTGATGAGTCTACGGGTGTCTCTGTGTGATGAGTCTACGTGTTTCTCTCTCTGTGTGAGTCTATGGGTCTCTGTGTGAGTCTATGGGTCTCTGTGTGAGTGAGTCTATGGGTCTCTGTGTGAGTGAGTCTATGAGTCTCTGTGTGAGTGAGTCTATGGGTCTCTGTGTGAGTGAGTTTATGGGTCTCTGTGTGAGTGAGTCTATGGGTCTCTGTGTGAGTGAGTCTATGGGTCTCTCTCTGTGATGAGTCTATGGGTCTCTGTGTGAGTGAGTCTACGGGTGTCTCTGTGTGATTAGTCTATGATTCTCTCTCTGTGATGAGTCTACGTGTCTCTCTCTCTCTGTGTGATGAGCCCACGGGCTGTGTCTCTGCCATCCCCCCCCGTGCAGCTGCAACGTCTCGTGCCCTCCGGGCTTCCACGGAGCAAACTGCTCCGTGCAGTGCGGCTGCCTCGCCGGCTCCTGCGACCCCATCACCGGCGCCTGTGCAGGTAAGGCAGGGGGCGAGTCTTCGCGTGCGCGTGGGTGAGCGGGTCAGTGGGCTCGACGGTGAGCCACCGGCCAACACCACCGCCAACACCGCCAACACCGCCAACACCGCCGACGCCGGTGACGCCGGTGACGCCGGGCTGATCCCGGTCCTCGCGCCCTCCGCCGCTGTCGACTCAGCCTCAACTTGAGCTTCCCGGCGCCATCACCGCCCCCGCCACCGGCGACGCACGGATGCGCCCTGGGGGTGCTGGCCCCCCTATCTCTCGTATTGGCGCCTGCGTGCGTGCCTTGGCAGGCCCCTTCAGCTACATGCCACTGGCGGCCGCAGCCGGCAGTCTGCTGCTGCTCGTCCTGCTCATCATCCTCGTCGCCGCCTGCTGTCGCTGCTGCTGCTGCTGCCGCCGTGGCGACCGCGAGAAGCCGGCCAATGAGATTCTCCGGAAGAGGTTTTTATTTTTTTTTATTTTACCCACCCCCATAACCCTAAACCTAACCCTGACCATAACCTATCCCTAACCCTAACCATAACCCTAACCCAACCCTAACCTAACCATAACCATAACATAACCCTAACCTAACCATAACCCTAATTCTCCGGAAGAGGTTTTTTTACCCATAACCCTAACCCAACCCTAACCCTAACCCCCCTAACCCTAACCTAACCCTAACCTAACCTAACCCTAACTCTAACCTAACCATAACCCTAACCCTAACCCCCCTAACCCTAACCTAACCCTAACCTAACCTAACCCTAACTCTAACCTAACCATAACCCTAACCCTAACCTAACCCTAACCTAACCCTAACCCTAACCTAACCCTAACCTAACCCTAACCCTAACTCTAACCTAACCCTAACCTAACCCAAACCTAACCCTAACCCTAACCTAACTCTAACCTAACCATAACCCTAACCTAACCCTAACCTAACCCTAACCTAACCCTAACCTAACTCTAACCTAACCTAACCCTAACCTAACCCTAACCTAACCCTAACCTAACCCTAACCTAATCTAACCCTAACCTAACCCTAACCTAACCCTAACCCTAAACCTAATCTAACCCTAACCTAACCCTAACATAACCCTAACCCTAACTCTAACCTAATCTAACCCTAACCTAACCCTAACCTAACCATAACCCTAACCTAACCCCGCCACCACCCCACGACGTTTCTACTGCAACACAAAGCAGCAATCATCATCATCATCAGGTGTGAAAACCATAGCAACAATAAAATAATAAAAATATAAAACAATACAATAATACAAATATAAAACAATAAAATTATCACGACGTTTCGACTGCAACACAAAGCAGCAATCACCCCCCCTCCTCTTTTCCGAACATAGATGGACTCGTCCATCTGAACAAACTGTCAAATCGCTCTCCGTGGTGCTAACGTTTAAAAATAAAACGCCACTTTTTTCAAATTTTCTTGCCTTGGTTTTCACACCTGATGATGATGATTGCTGCTTTGTGTTGCAGTAGAAAACGTCGTGAGAATTTTATTGTTTTATATTTTTATTATTTTATAGTTTTATATTTTTATTATTTTATTGTTTTATATTTTTTATTATTTTATAGTTTTATATTTTTATTATTTTATCCTTGCCGTGGTTTTCACACCTGATGATGATTGCTGCTTTGTGTTGCAGTAGAAACGTCGTGAGAATTTTATTGTTTAATATTTTTATTATTTTATTGTTTTATATTTTTATTATTTTATTGTTTTATATTTTTATTATTTTATAGTTTTATATTTTTATTATTTTATTGTTTTATATTTTTATTATTTTATAGTTTTATATTTTTATTATTGTATTCTTGCTGTGGTTTTCACACCTGACGATGATGATTGCTGCTTTGTGTTGTAGTAGAAACGTCGTGAGAATTGTATCGTTTCATATATATTTGTTTTATTATTTTATTGTTTCCCTTCTACGTGGTGACTTTACAGAAAGAACCAAGAATACTTTACAAGGACAATACATTGAAACGTACTTTGATGATAATGTGTCCATTGCCCTTGAAACTGATTAGCCTAGACCATAGCTGCACCTTCCTCTATGGCCTTGTTTCACCACCGGTGCTGTAGGTCAAAGAATGGCACACCACCACCACCCTCCCCCCCCCCTTCACAGGCACTGCTGCTGCTACTCGAAGCAACTGCACCAATATTCCACGTGTACTAAATGGGGGAGACGTTGTGCTTGTCTTTGTGTTACACGTCCAAGGATCACCTCCCAGGACTCCCCTCTCCCGGCCCGGGGTTGCCCCGGGATTTTTTTCTGCGGACGACAGAAGCTTCCCCAGGTTACCGGTACGCGCACACACACACACACGCACACTACCATACCGGATGCTTGCTAAACCCACACACACACACACACTACCATACCGGATGCTTGCTAAACACACACACACCACTCAGTGTCTCCACACACACACACTACCATACCGGATGCTTGCTAAACACACACACACACTACCATACCGGATGCTTGCTAAACCCAAACACACACACACTACCATACCGGATGCTTGCTAAACCCACACACACTACCATACCGGATGCTTGCTAAACACACACACACACACCACTCCATGTCTCCACACACACACACACTACCATACCGGATGCTTGCTAAACCCACACACACACACTACCATACCGGATGCTTGCTAAACCCACACACACACCACTCCATGTCTCCACACACACACACATACTACCATACCGGATGCTTGCTAAACCCACACACACACACACCACCATACCGGATGCTTGCTAAACCCAAACACACACACACTACCATACTGGATGCTTGCTAAACCCACACACACTACCATACCGGATGCTTGCTAAACACACACACCACTCCATGTCTCCACACACACACACACTACCATACCTGATGCTTGCTAAACACACACACACACCACTCCATGTCTCCACACACACACACACTACCATACCGGATGCTTGCTAAACCCCCACACACACACACTACCATACCGGATGCTTGCTAAACACACACACACACACCACTCCATGTCTCCACACACACACACACTACCATACCGGATGCTTGCTAAACCCACACACACACACCACTCCGTGTCTTCACACACACACACACTACCATACTGGATGCTTGCTAAACCCACACACACACGCACACTACCATACCGGATGCTTGCTAAACCCACACACACACACTACCATACCGGATGCTTGCTAAACCCACACACACACGACTCCGTGTCTCCACACACACACACACTACCATACCAGATGCTTGCTAAACCCACACACCACTCCGTGTCTCCACACACACACACACACTACCATACCGGATGATTGCTAAACACACACCATACCGGATGATTGCTCAATGCATATAATGCTCTGAATCCACACACACACACTACCATGCCAGATGATTGCTAAACACACGCCCTGCTCTGTGTCTCTACACACACACACTACCATACCGGATGATTGATAAACGCACGATGTATGTTTGTAAGTTAGTTCGCTCCGTAGGTGAGACTCATGAGTCTTCAACGTGTTAAGAAATGCCAGCTGAGATTCATTCGCGAGCCAGATGCAGTCGTCAAGAGAGCCACGTCTGGCTCGCGAGCTGTAGGCTTGCCGACCGCTGATCGAGATGATGATTTAAAAGTGCGTAGCTCCAATGGAGAGGACTCCAGGCGGCCGCGGGAACGGTTCTGAAAGCGTTGCGTAATGCGGTGACCACCATCTTTGTTCGATGGTGAGCCAAAAGTGTAGTGTATAGTGTATCGTAGTGTGTTGTGTAGTGTATGGTGTATCGTAGTGTGTTGTGTAGTGTATGATAGTGTAGTGTATAGTAGTGTAGTGTATAGTGTATCGTAGTGTGTTGTGTAGTGTATACTAGTGTAGTGTATAGTGTATCGTAGTGTGTTGTGTAGTGTATAGTAGTGTAGTGTGTAGTAGTGTAGTGTATAGTGTATCGTAGTGTGTTGTGTAGTGTATAGTGTATCGTAGTGTGTTGTGTAGTGTATAATAGTGTAGTGTATAGTGGTGTAGTGTATAGTATTGTAGTGTATAGTAGTGTATAGTAGTGTAGTGTATAGTGTATCATAGTGTGTTGTGTAGTGTATAATAGTGTAGTGTATAGTAGTGTAGTGCATAGTGTATCGTAGTGTGTTGTGTAGTGTATAATAGTGTAGTGTATAGTAGTGTAGTGTATAGTGTATTGTAGTGTGTTGTGTAGTGTATAGTGTATCGTAGTGTGTTGTGTAGTGTATAGTGTAGTGTATAGTAGTGTAGTGTATAGTGTATCGTAGTGTGTTGTTTAGTGTATAGTGTAGTGTATAGTAGTGTAGTGTATAGTGTATCGTAGTGTGTTGTGTAGTGTATGATAGTGTAGTGTATAGTAGTGTAGTGTATAGTGTATCGTAGTGTGTTGTGTAGTGTATGATAGTGTAGTTTATAGTAGTGTAGTGTATAGTGTAGTGTATAGTAGTGTAGTGTATAGTGTAGTGTATAGTAGTGTAGTGTATAGTGTAGTGTATAGTAGAGTAGTGTATACTAGTGTAGTGTGTAGTGTAGTGTATAGTAGTGTAGTGTATAGTGTAGTGTATAGTAGTGTAGTGTATAGTGTAGTGTATAGTAGTCTAGTGTATAGTGTATCGTAGTGTGTTGTGTAGTGTATACTAGTGTAGTGTATAGTGGTGTAGTGTATAGTGTAATGTATATTGAAGTGTATAGTAGTGTAGTGTATAGTGTAGTGTATAGTGTAGTGTATAGTGTAGTGTATAGTAGTCTAGTGTATAGTGTATCGTAGTGTGTTGTGTAGTGTATAGTAGTGTAGTGTATAGTGGTGTAGTGTATAGTAGTTTAGTGTATAGTGTAGTGTATAGTAGTGTAGTGTATAGTGTATCGTAGTGTGTTGTGTAGTGTATAATAGTGTAGTGTATAGTAGTGTGTAGTGTAGTGTATGGTAGGGTGTATTGTAGTGTAGTGTATGGTGCAGTGTATAGTGTAGTGTATGGTAGTGTAGTGTATAGTAGTGTAGTGTATAGTGGTGTAGTGTATAGTAGTGTATAGTGTAGTGTATAGTAGTGTAGTGTATAGTGTAGTGTATAATGCAGTGTATAGTGTACTAGTATCGTGTAAAGAAGTGTATTGTAGTGTATCGTAGTGTAGTTGTTTGTAGTGCAGTGTATAGTGTTGTATAGTGTAGTGTATAGTAGTGTAGTGTATCTTAGTGTAGTGTATCATTACTGTACACTACATTACTATACACTACACTATACACTACACTATACACTACTATACACTACACTACTATACGCTACACTACTATACACTGCATTACTATACACTACACTACTATACACTACACTATACACTACACTACTACACACTACACACTATACACTGCACTACACACTACATTATACACTACTATACACTACACTATACACTACACTACACACTACACTATACACTACACCACTATACACTGCACTATACACTACACTATACACTACACACTACACTACACTATACACTACACTACTATACACTACACACTATACACACTACACTATACACTACACTACTATACACTACACTATACACTACACTACACACTACACTACACACTACACTACACTACTATACACTACATTACTACACACTACACTACTATACACTACACTACACACTACACTACTATACACTACACTACTACACACTACACTACTATACACTACACTATACACTACACTATACACTAGACTACACATTACACTACACACTACACTATACACTACACTACTATACACTACACTACACACTACACTATACACTACACTACACACTACACTACACACTACACTATACACTACACTACACTATACACTACACTACTATACACTACACTATACACTACACTACACACTACACTACTATACACTACACGACACACTACACTACACACTACACTACTATACACTACACTACACTATACACTACACTACTATACACTACACTATACACTACACTACACACTACACTACTATACACTACACTACACACTACACTACACACTACACTACTACACACTACACTACACACTACACTACTATACACTACACTACACACTACACTACACACTACACTACTATACACTACACTACACACTACACTACACACTACACTACTACACACTACACTACACACTACACTACTATACACTACACTATACACTACACTACACACTACACTACCATACACTACACTACTATACGCTACACTATACACTACACTACACTACTATACACTGCACTACACACTACACTACACACTACACTATACACTACACTACTATAAACTACACTACTATACACTACACTACACACTACACTACTATACACTACAGTACACACTACACACTACACTATACACTACACTACTACACACTACACTACTATACACTATACACTACACTATACACTACACTACTATACACTACACTACACACTACACTACTACACACTACACTACACACTATACACTACACTACACACTATACTACTATACACTACACTACACACTACACTATACACTACACTATACACTACACTAGACACTACACTACTATACACTACACTACAGTACACACTACACTACTATACACTACACTATACACTACACTACACACTACACTACACACTACACTACTATACACTACACTACACACTACACTACACACTACACTACTACACACTACACTACACACTACACTACTATACACTACACTATACACTACACTACACTACTATACACTACACTATACACTACACTACACACTACACTACTATACACTACACTACACACTACACTACACTATACACTACACTACTATACACTACACTACACACTACACTATACACTACACTACACACTACTATACACTACACTACACACTACACTACTATACTACACTAGACACTACACTACTATACACTACACTACAGTACACACTACACTACTATACACTACACTATACACTACACTACACACTACACTACTACACACTACACTACACACTACACTACTATACACTACACTACACACTACACTACACACTACACTACTACACACTACACTACACACTACACTACTATACACTACACTATACACTACACTACACTACTATACACTACACTATACACTACACACTACACTACTATACACTACACTACACACTACACTATACACTACACTATACACTACACTATACACTACACACTACACTATACACTACACTACACACTACTATACACTACACTACACACTACACTACTATACACTACACTATACACTACACACTACACTACACACTACACTATACACTACACTACACACTACACTACACTACTATACACTACACTACTACACACTACATTATACACTACACTACACACTACACTACTACACACTACACTACACACTACACTACACACTACACTATACACTACACTACACACTACACTACACTATACACTACACTATACACTACACTATACACTACACTACACACTACACTATACACTACACACTATACTACTATACACTACACTATACACTACACTACTATACACTACACTATACACTACACTATACACACTACACTACACATTACACTATACACTACACTATACACTACACTACTATACACTACACTATACACTACACTACTATACACTACACTACTATACACTACACTACTATACACTACACTACTATACACTACACTATACACTACACTACTATACACTACACTACTATACACTACACTACTATACACTACACTATACACTACACTACTATACACTACACTACACACTACACTACTATACACTACACACTACACTACACACTACACTATACACTACACTATACACTACACTACTACACACTACACTATACACTACACTATACACTACACTTCACACTAGTGCCGTACTAGTGACGAATTGCCAACGTGTTCAAGTGACCCACGTGTCTGATTTCCCCTCCCACCCACCCACCACCACCACCACCCCCACAGTCCACCACCACGACCGCGAATTGGCCTTCAGCTGCAGCTACATTGAGACGAGCTCCGTGCAGAGGGACAGCGTCGACGTTTCTTCGTCTCCCTCCTCCTCGTCCTCCTCCTCATCCTCCTCCTCCTCCTCCTCGCATGTCTTCAGCTTCTTGGGGGCTGACGAACAGTGCTTCTACTCCATACCGGAGGGTGACCCGCCACTATGAGTCTGACACGCTCACTCGCGTGTGTCTCTCTGTGTCTCTGTGTGTCTCTGTCTCTCTGTGTCTCGTGTCTCTCTGTCTCGTGTCTCTCTGTGTCTGTCTCTCTGTGTCTCTGTGTCTCTGTGTCTCTCTGTCTCTGTCTCTCTGTCTCTCTGTCTCTGTCTCTCTGTCTCTCTCTGTGTCTCTGTCTCTCTGGCTCTGTCTCTCTGTGTCTCTCTCTCTGTCTCTCTGTGTGTCTCTCTGTGTCTCTCTGTCTCTGTGTCTCTCTGTCTCTGTGTCTCTCCCGTGTCTCCCCGTGTCTCCCCGTGTCTCCCCGTGTCTCTCTGTCTCTCTGTCTCTCTGTCTCGTGTCTGTCTCGTGTCTCTGTCTCGTGTCTCTCTGTCTCTCTGTCTCGTGTCTGTCTGTCTCTCTCTGTGTCTCTCTGTCTCTCTGGCTCTGTCTCGTGTCTCTCTGTCTCTCTGTCTCTCTCTGTGTCTCTCACTGTCTCGTGTCTCTCTGTATCTCTGTCTCGTGTCTCCCTGTGTCTCTCAGTGTCTCTCTCCCCGTCTCTCACCCGCGCGTCTCTCCCCGTGTCTTTCTCTATCTCCCCGTGTCTCTCTCCCTGTCTCTATCCCGCGTGTCTCTCTCTCTGTCTCTCACCTGCGCGTCTTCCCCGTGTCTCTCTATCTCCCCGTGTCTCTCTCTCTGTCTCCCCGCGTGTCTCTCTCCCTGTCTCTCTCCCTGTCTCTCTCCCTGTCTCTCTCCCCGTGTCTGTCTCTATCTCCCCGTGTCTCTCTTTCTGTCTCCCCGCGTGTCTCTTTCCCAGTGTCTCTCTCCCAATGTCTCTCTCCCTGTTTCTCTCCCTGTCTCTCTCCCTGTCTCTCTCCCCGTGTCTCTCTCCCTGTCTCTCTCCCTGTCTCTCTCCCAGTGTCTCTCTCCGTCTCTCTCCCCGTGTCTCTCCCAGTGTCTCTCTCCCAGTGTCTCTCTCCCTCTCTCACCCTGTCTCTCCCAGTGTCTCTCTCCCTGTCTTTCTCCCTGTCTCTCTCCCTGTCTCTCTCCCTGTCTCTCTCCCCGTGTCTCTCTCCCTGTCTCTCTCTATCTCCCTGTCTCTCTCCCTGTCTCTCTCCCTGTCTCTCTCCCCGTGTCTCTCTCCCTGTCTCTCTCCCTGTCTCTCTCCCTGTGTCTCTCTCCCTGTCTCTCTCCCTGTCTCTCTCCCAATGTCTCTCTCCCTGTCTCTCTCCCTGTCTCTCTCCCAATGTCTCTCTCCCAGTGTCTCTCTCCCTGTCTCTCTCCCTGTCTCTCTCCCTGTCTCGCTCCCCGTGTCTCTCTCCCTGTCTCTCTCCCTGTCTCTCTCCCAGTGTCTCTCTCCCTGTCTCTCTCCCCGTGTCTCTCTCCCTGTCTCTCTCTATCTCCCTGTCTCTCTCCCTGTCTCTCTCCATGTCTCTCTCCCTGTCTCTCTCCCTGTGTCTCTCTCCCTGTCTCTCTCCCAATGTCTCTCTCCCTGTCTCTCTCCCTGTCTCTCTCTGTCTCTCTCCCTGTCTCTCTCCCCGTGTCTCTCTCCCAGTGTCTCTCTCCCCGTGTCTATCTCCCTGTCTCTCTCCCTGTCTCTCTCCCAATGTCTCTCTCCCTGTCTCTCTCCCTGTCTCTCTCCCTGTCTCTCTCCCCGTGTCTCTCTCCCTGTCTCTCTCTATCTCCCTGTCTCTCTCCCTGTCTCTCTCCCTGTCTCTCTCCCCGTGTCTCTCTCCCTGTCTCTCTCCCTGTCTCTCTCCCTGTGTCTCTCTCCCTGTCTCTCTCCCTGTCTCTCTCCCAATGTCTCTCTCCCTGTCTCTCTCCCTGTCTCTCTCCCAATGTCTCTCTCCCAGTGTCTCTCTCCCTGTCTCTCTCCCTGTCTCTCTCCCTGTCTCGCTCCCGTGTCTCTATCCCTGTCTCTCTCCCTGTCTCTCTCCCAGTGTCTCTCTCCCTGTCTCTCTCCCCGTGTCTCTCTCCCTGTCTCTCTCTATCTCCCTGTCTCTCTCCCTGTCTCTCTCCATGTCTCTTTCCCTGTCTTTCTCCCTGTGTCTCTCTCCCTGTCTCTCTCCCTGTCTCTCTCCCAATGTCTCTCTCCCTGTCTCTCTCCCTGTCTCTCTCCCAATGTCTCTCTCCCTGTCTCTCTCCCTGTCTCTCTCCCTGTCTCTCTCCCAATGTCTCTCTCCCAGTGTCTCTCTCCCTGTCTCTCTCCCTGTCTCTCTCCCTATCTCGCTCCCCGTGTCTCTCTCCCTGTGTCTCTCCCTGTCTCTCTCCCAGTGTCTCTCTCCCTGTCTCTCTCCCCGTGTCTCTCTCCCTGTCTCTCTCTATCTCCCTGCCTCTCTCCCTGTCTCTCTCCCTGTCTCTCTCCATGTCTCTCTCCCTGTCTCTCTCCCTGTCTCTCTCCCTGTCTCTCTCCAATGTCTCTCTCCCATGTCTCTCTCCTGTCTCTCTCCCTGTCTCTCTCCCTGTCTCTCTCCCCGTGTCTCTCTCTCCTGTCTCTCGTCTATCTCCCTGTCTATCTCGTCTCTCTCCCTGTCTCTCTCCCTGTCTATCTCCCCTATGTCTCTCTCCCTGTCTCTCTCCCTGTCTCTCTCCCTATGTCTCTCTCCCTGTCTCTCTCCCTGTCTCTCTCCCAATGTCTCTCTCCCTGTCTCTCTCCCTGTCTCTCTCCCTGTCTCTCTCCCAATGTCTCTCTCCCAGTGTCTCTCTCCCTGTCTCTCTCCCTGTCTCTCTCCCTGTCTCGCTCCCGTGTCTCTCTCCCTGTCTCTCTCCCTGTCTCTCTCCCTGTGTCTCTCTCCCTGTCTCTCTCCCCGTGTCTCTCTCCCTGTCTCTCTCTATCTCCCTGTCTCTCTCCCTGTCTCTCTCCCTGTCTCTCTCATGTCTCTCTCCCTGTCTTTCTCCCTGTGTCTCTCTCCCTGTCTCTCTCCCTGTCTCTCTCCCAATGTCTCTCTCCCTGTCTCTCTCCCTGTCTCTCTCCCTGTCTCTCTCCCAATGTCTCTCTCCCTGTCTCTCTCCCTGTCTCTCTCCCTGTCTCTCTCCCAATGTCTCTCTCCCTGTCTCTCTCCCTGTCTCTCTCCCAATGTCTCTCTCCCAGTGTCTCTCTCCCTGTCTCTCTCCCTGTCTCTCTCCCTATCTCGCTCCCCGTGTCTCTCTCCCTGTGTCTCTCTCCCTGTCTTCTCTCCCAGTGTCTCTCTCCTGTCTCTCTCCCCGTGTCTCTCTCCCTGTCTCTCTCTATCTCCCTGTCTCTCTCCCTGTCTCTCTCCCTGTCTCTCTCCATGTCTCTCTCCCTGTCTTTCTCCCTGTGTCTCTCTCCCTGTCTCTCTCCCTGTCTCTCTCCCAATGTCTCTCTCCCTGTCTCTCTCCCTGTCTCTCTCCCTGTCTCTCTCCCAATGTCTCTCTCCCTGTCTCTCTCCCAATGTCTCTCTCCCTGTCTCTCTCCCTGTCTCTCTCCCAATGTCTCTCTCCCAGTGTCTCTCTCCCTGTCTCTCTCCCTGTCTCTCTCCCTGTCTCGCTCCCCGTGTCTCTCTCCCTGTGTCTCTCCCTGTCTCTCTCCCAGTGTCTCTCTCCCTGTCTCTCTCCCCGTGTCTCTCTCCCTGTCTCTCTCTATCTCCCTGTCTCTCTCCCTGTCTCTCTCCCTGTCTCTCTCCATGTCTCTCTCCCTGTCTTTCTCCCTGTGTCTCTCTCCCTGTCTCTCTCCCTGTCTCTCTCCCAATGTCTCTCTCCCAGTGTCTCTCTCCCTGTGTTTCTCTCCCTGTCTCTCTCCCTATCTCTCTCCCTGTCTCTCTCCCTGTCTCTCTCTATCTCCCAGTGTCTCTCTCCGTGTCTCTCTCTATCTCCCCGTGTCTCTCTCCCTGTCTCTCTCTATCTCTCCCTGTCTCTCTCTCTGTCTCTCTCTGTCTCTCTCCCTGTCTATCTCCCAGTGTCTCTCTCCCTGTCACTCTTTTTTTACGATCAGAAGAGACATGAAGATGCTCGGTGTAGTCGGCACTTTGCTCCGTTCATCATTTCGGTTTTTGTTTTTAAGCTTTGCTTTACGTAACCCCCCCCCCCTTCCCTCTCTCTCTACCCCCCTCTCCGCCCCCCCCCTCTCTCTCTCTAACCCCCCTCTCTACCTACTCCATTTGGCTCTCTCCCGCTCTCTCTCTCGCTCTCTCTCACTCTCTCTTTTCTTCATAACTACGACAAGCGCTGCATCTGAACGCAGCCATTCCCACGCGGTCAAAACCGGCCTCCGACGGGTGTAGCTCACAATCTGTTACGTGCAACGGAGAGCCCTCTGTACCGTCACCTGCCACCGAGCTCACGGCCCTCCCCCGGCGCCCCCACCGCTCCTCGAAGGCCCGTCACGGCGTGTGGGTCAGCCGCTCCGCACGGCGGAACTCCGGGCCCACACCACCACCACCACCACCACCACCGCACCCTGGCTCCGACGGGAGCGCGGAAGATGCCCCAGGGCTGCCGGCCGGACGTGGCCCCATCCAGGGCCACCTTCCTCTACCAGAGGCTTTGGCCGTAGCCGAAGGGCAACGCTGACAAGGCCCCCCTGACGATGTCGGGGGTTCCGTTGCCCCCTTCGGGTGTCCGAAGATGAGGACCGTCAGGGGGGGGGGGAGAGAAGCGGAGGCTGGACCTCTGGAGGATGTTTCCCAGGACCTTCGGAACGCGGCGAGGTCCAGGCTCTCGCTCTCCGCGTGTCGGCGCGCCAACGTCTCCGCTTTACCGCGGGCGGGACCCGGCAACTCCGGGGACGTGTCGGCGAAGCGCCCCGGTGAAGGCGTCGGAGGCGACGGTGCCGTGGGCGACGCTCCGGCCGCGGTCGCCGACGCGGTCGTAACGTCGGGCTGCGGTGGAGTTGCCTCCGGCGAGGCCTCTCCGGAGAGACGCCGGGGGGGCTGGGGGGGGCTCTCCTCCGGGCGTGGTCCTTGTGGCTCCTCCTCAGGGTTGTGTCCTGTTTGGTGGAACCGGACCACGTAGGAGTAGAGAGCACCTTCCTCTTGACGTTAGCGAAGGCCACCCTCCGGCAGATCTTCCGCCCGGCACGGGTCGCGATCCGCCTTCGTTTGTCGGCACTGGCGATGCAGCGGCACGACTGGGAGAGCTCCGGTGGAGGGGGACCGAGAGGGGCCTCGTCATCCCCGACGCCGATGGGGGCGGGCGGCGTTCTCCCCGCCGCTGCCGCTGAGAAGGCCCCCTTGGCTCCGGCCAGGATCCTGGCGGCCACCCGGAGCGACTGCAGCCCCTCCCCCCCCACTGTCTTTGCGGGCCTATGTCTGCCGGTCCGAGCCACCGGACCTCCGTGTTTCGGGCTCCGCCAGATCTCCCGTCCTGGCGAAGCCGCGCGTTGGCGAGGCGCCTCTCCGTGCCGGGGGTGGTGGTGGTGGTGATGGTGGTGGTGATGATGGTGATGGTGGTGGTGGTGGTGATGGTGGTGATGGTGGTGGTGGTGATGGTGGTGGTGATGGTGGTGGTGGTGGTGATGGTGGTGATGGTGGTGATGGTGGTGGTGGTGGTGATGGTGGTGATGGTGGTGATGGTGGTGATGGTGGTGGTGATGGTGGTGATGGTGGTGGTGATGGTGGTGGTGATGGTGATGGTGGTGATGGTGGTGATGGTGGTGGTGATGGTGGTGATGGTGGTGATGGTGGTGATGGTGGTGGTGGTGGTGGTGATGGTGATGGTGGTGGTGGTGGTGGATGGCGGCTTTGTCTGCGGGGTTCCTGAGGATCGGTTCGAAGACCAGATCCTCGGCCGATCGCGGCCGCTTCAGCCTCCTGACGGCGAGGGAGCTCCGTGTCCGCAGGACGCTCCCTGTAGAAGGGTGGCAGCTTGCCCCAGTGGGAGGCCCTGCAGGTCCACGTAGAATAGTCGCTTGGAGCACCGCAGACCCCCCCCCACCCAGCTGTTTCAGGAGGAAGGAGGCCGTGACGCTCCAGGCCGGTGCCGGGGCGGCGTGGTGCAGGAACTTTCGCGCGGCCTTGCGGTCGGAAGGCGGCCGGCCGACTCCGCAAGCACGCACCGGTCCATGACCGCCCCCTCGTCCAGTGGCAGGGCTCAGGACCCCAGCCACGACCTCGGTGACCTCCGCCCGACCAGAAGAAGTCGAGGACTCGCTTCTGACGCTCGTTGACGAGGCTCATAGAGGGGTGGGGTGCAGGGAGAAGAGTCGGTGCCACAGCACGGACGCGTCACCGGCTGGTTCACCGCCAACGTCTTTGTCCTCAATGTGAGGAACTTGCACGGGCGACTCCGGGTGCCCAGCCGCTCCTTCGCCTTCTCGCCCTCCGGCTCGACCCGGTTCCTCTGCGGTGGTTCCTCCTCTGGTCCGAGGAACACCTCCAAGGTGGTGCGGCAGCGATGTTGTGCTCCGATCGATGGCTTTTGCCTTCTCGGGACACCCGGTCACGTCCCACGCTCCAACCGGCAGGCCCCGCTGCACTTTTGCCAGTAAAATTTTTGATGAGGAGGAGGAGGCTTTCGAAAAGACCTCCTGGCACTCGTGCAGCAGGGCGACGTCAGCCAGGGAGCGCAGGATGAGGAGGAGGACGTCGTCGTCGGCGTACGCCGTCAGGACCAACTTGACGCTTGGTTCCCCGAGCACCGGGCCGCTGAGTCTCCGCCTTACGAGACTCAGGAAAGGCTCTGAAGCCAGGGCGTGAAGTTGGCCCGACAATGGGCATCCCCGTCTCACTCCTCGCTCGAATTTGACCGGGGCAGTGAGGGCGCCGCTGATCTTGATCACGCACTCCGCCTCGGCGTAGAGCAGGCGGATCGTTCGGACGAAGGCATCCCCCAAAACCAAAGGTCCTGAGGGTTCCCAGCAGGTGCCTTGTGGTGGTCCACTCTGTCAAAAGCCTTTTCCTGGTCAAAGAGCCAGAAACGCGATCGGGATGCCCCAACCTCTGGGACACCACCGCGATGAGGTCCCCGACCAGGAAGATGCCGTCGTGGATGATTCGTCCGGGGATGGTGTAGGACTGGGTCCCCGTGTACGACTTGTTCGATCACCCCTTTCAGTCGCAGGGAGAGAGCCTCCGTCAATATTTTGTAGTCTGTGTTCAGTCTCTCACCCTGTCTCTCTCACTGTCTCTCACCCGCGCGTGTCTCTCCGTGTCTCTCTCCCCGTGTCTCTCTCCCTGTCTCTCACCCGCGCGTGTCTCTCTCTATCTCACCTTGTCTCTCACCCTGTCTCTCTCCCTGTCTCTCTCTATCTCCCCGTGTCTCCCTCCGTGTCTGTCTCTATCTCCCCGCGTCTCTCTCCCTGTCTCTCACCTGCGCGTGTCTCTCTGTGTCTCTCTCCCCGTGTCTCTCTCCCTGTCTCTCACCCGCGCGTGTCTCTCTCTATCTCACCTTGTCTCTCACCCTGTCCTCTCTCCCTGTCTCTCTCTATCTCCCGTTTCTGTCTCTCTATCTCCCCGTGTCTCCCTCCGTGTCTGTCTCTCTCACCCGCGCGTGTCTCTCTCTCTGTCTCTCACCCGCGCGTGTCTCTCTCCCCCTGTCTCTCTCCCTGTCTCTCACCCGCGTGTCTCTCCGTGTCTCTCTCTTCCGTGTCTCTCTCCCCGTGTCTCTCTCCCTGTCTCTCTCCCCGTGTCTCTCTCTATCTCACCTTGTCTCTCACCCTGTCTCTCTCCCTGTCTCTCTCTATCTCCCCGTGTCTGTCTCTCTATCTCCCCGTGTCTCCCTCCGTGTCTGTCTCTATCTCCCCCGCGCGTGTCTCTCTCCCTGTCTCTCTCCCAGTGTCTCTCTTCCGTGTCTCTCTCCCAGTGTTTCTCTCCCCGTGTCTCTCTCCAGTGTCTCTCTCCCTGTCTCTCTCTCAGTGTCTCTCTCCCAGTGTCCTCTCTCCCAGTGTCTCTCTCCCTGTCTCTCTCCCAGTGTCTCTCTCCCAGTGTCTCTCTCCCTGTCTCTCTCCCAGTGTCTCTCTCCCTGTCTCTCTCCCAGTGTCTCTCTCCCCGTGTCTCTCTCCCAGTGTCTCTCTCCCTGTCTCACCCTGTCTCTCTCCCAGTGTCTCTCTCCCTGTCTCACCCTGTCACTCTCCCAGTGTCTCTATCCCTGTCTCACCCTGTCTCTCTCCCAGTGTCTCTCTCCTCGTGTCTCTCTCCCAGTGTCTCTCTCCCTCTCTCACCCTGTCTCTCTCCCAGTGTCTCTCTCCCCGTGTCTCTCTCCCAGTGTCTCTCTCCCTCTCTCACCCTGTCTCTCTCACAGTGTCTCTCTCCCTGTCTCACCCTGTCTCTCCCAGTGTCTTTCTCTATCTCCCCGTGTCTCTCTCCCAGTGTCTCTCCCAGTGTCTCTCTCCCTGTCTCTCTACACGTGTCTCTCTCCCTGTCTCTCTCCCAGTGTCTCTCTCCCTGTCTCACCCTGTCTCTCTCCCAGTGCCTCTCTCCCTGTCTCACCCTGTCTCTCTCCCAGTATCTCTCTCTATCTCCCCGTGTCTCTCTCCCTGTCTCTCTCCCCGTGTCTCTCTGCCAGTGTTTCTCTCCCCGTGTCTCACCCGCGCGTGTCTCTCCGTGTCTCTCTCCCCGTGTCTCTCCCTGTCTCTCACCCGCGCGTGTCTCTCTCTATCTCACCTTGTCTCTCACCCTGTCTCTCTCCCTTTCTCTCTCTCTATCTCCCCGTGTCTGTCTCTCTATCTCCCCGTGTCTCCCTCCGTGTCTGTCTCTCTCACCCGCGCGTGTCTCTCTCCCTGTCTCTCACAGCGCGTGTCTCTCTCCCCCTGTCTCTATCCCTGTCTCTCACCCGCGCGTGTCTCTCTCCCCCTGTCTCTCTCCCTGTCTCTCACCCGCGCGTGTCTCTCTCCCCCTGTCTCTCTCCCTGTCTCTCACCCGCGTGTCTCTCCCCGTGTCTCTCTCCCTGTCTCTCCCCCCGTGTCTCTCTCTATCTCACCTTGTCTCTCACCCTGTCTCTCTCCCTGTCTCTCTCTATCTCCCCGTGTCTGTCTCTCTATCTCCCCGTGTCTCCCTCCGTGTCTGTTTCTATCTCCCCGTGTCTCTCTCCCTGTCTCTCACCCGCGCGTCTCTCCCCCCGTGTCTCTCTCCCAGTGTCTCTATCTCCAGTGTCTCTCTCCCTGTCTCTCACCCGCGCGTGTCTCTCTCCCTGTCTCTCTCCCTGTCTCTCTCCCTGTCTCTCTCTATCTCCCCGTGTCTCCCTCCGTGTCTGTCTCTCTCCCCCGAGCGTGTCTCTCTCCCTGTCTCTCTCCCTGTCTCTCACCCGCGCGTGTCCTCTCTCCCCCTGTCTCTCTCCCTGTCTCTCCCCCTGTCCTCTCTCCCCATGTCTCTCTCCCTGTCTCTCACCCGCGCGTGTCTCTCTCCCCCTGTCTCTCTCCCCGTGTCTCTCTCCCTGTCTCTCCTCCTGTCTCTCTCCCCGTGTCTCTCTCCCTGTCTCTCCTCCTGTCTCTCTCCCCGTGTCTCTCTCCCTGTCTCTCCTCCTGTCTCTCTCCCCGTGTCTCTCTCCCCGTCTCTCCCTCCGTGTCCCCAGGCGAGGCATGGGGGGGCAATTACCGCCGTGCCCGTGACCCCGACAGCTCGAGCGGGACCCGTCCCCACCTCCTCCTCCTCTCCCCGCCTGCCCTCGCCGCTGCCCGGGCTGGGAGAGAGCCCCGCCGAAGGGGACGCCGTGGGAGGGGTCCCCTTGGCGGCGTGGAAGGGGGGCACGGCTGGGGAGGATCCCGAGGTGGTGGTGGGTGGTGGTGGCGGTGGTGGTGCAGGTGGTGGTGGCTACGCCGTTCCACAACACGGAGACAGCGGAGTCTATGCCAGGCCTCTGCCATCACCGGTGACTGAACTGCTTCACCCTGTAGACCTGCTTCACCCTGAGTACCTGCTTCACCCTGAGTACCTGCTTCACCCTGTAGACCTGCTTCACCCTGAGTACCTGCTTCACCCTGAGTACCTGCTTCACCTGTGTACATGCTTCACCTGTGTACCTGCTTCACCTGTAGACCTGCGTCACCTGTAGACCTGCTTCAGCTGTGTACCTGCTTCACCCTGAGTACCTGCTTCACCCTGAGTACCTGCTTCACCCTGAGTACCTGCTTCACCCTGAGTACCTGCTTCACCTGTGTACCTGCTTCATCCTGTAGACCTGCTTCACCCTGTAGACCTGCTTCACCCTGAGTACCTGCTTCACCCTGTAGACCTGCTTCACCTGTAGACCTGCTTCACCCTGAGTACCTGCTTCACCCTGAGTACCTGCTTCACCCTGAGTACCTGCTTCACCTGTGTACCTGCTTCACCCTGAGTACCTGCTTCACCCTGTGTACCTGCTTCACCCTGAGTACCTGCTTCACCCTGTAGACCTGCTTCACCCTGTAGACCTGCGTCACCTGTGTACCTGCTTCACCTGTATACCTGCTTCACCTGTGTACCTGCTTCACCTGTGTACCTGCTTCACCTGTGTACCTGCTTCACCTGTAGACCTGCTTCACCTGTGTACCTGCTTCACCCTGTAGACCTGCGTCACCTGTAGACCTGCTTCTCCCTGTAGACCTGCTTCACCCTGAGTACCTGCTTCACCCTGAGTACCTGCTTCACCCTGTAGACCTGCTTCACCTGTGTACCTGTGTCACCTGTGTACCTGTGTCACCTGTAGACCTGCTACACCTGTGTACCTGCTTCACCTGTGTACCTGCTTCAGTTGTGTACCTGCTTCACCTGTAGACCTGCTTCACCTGTGTACCTGCTTCACCCTGTAGACCTGCTTCACCTGTAGACCTGCTTCACCCTGTAGACCTGCTTCACCTGTGTACCTGCTTCACCTGTGTACCTGCTTCACCTGTGCACCTGTGTCACCCTGGGTACCTGCTTCATCTGTATACCTGCTTCACCTGTGTACCTGCTTCACCTGTAGACCTGCTTCACCTGTGTACCTGCTTCACCTGTAGACCTGCTTCACCTGTGTACCTGCTTCACCTGTGTACCTGTGTCACCTGTGTACCTGTGTCACCTGTGTACCTGTGTCACCTGTAGACCTGCTTCACCTGTGTACCTGCATCACCTGTATACCTGCTTCATCTGTGTACCTGCTTCACCTGTATACCTGCTTCACCTGTGTACCTGTGTCACCTGTAGACCTGCTTCACCTGTGTACCTGCTTCACCTGTGTACCTGCTTCATCTGTGTAACCTGCTTCACCTGTATACCTGCTTCACCTGTGTACCTGTGTCACCCTATGTACCTGCTTCACCTGTGTACCTGCTTCACCTGTGTACCTGCTTCACCTGTGTACCTGCATCATCTGTAGACCTGTGTCACCTGTAGACCTGCTTCACCTGTGTACCTGCTTCACCTGTAGACCTGCTTCACCTGTAGACCTGTCACCCTGTGTACCTGCATCACCTGTGTACCTGTGTCACCCTGTAGACCTGCTTCACCTGTGTACCTGCTTCACCTGTAGACCTGCTTCACCTGTGTACCTGCTTCACCTGTAGACCTGCTTCACCCTGTAGACCTGCTTCACCCTGTAGACCTGCTTCACCCTGTAAACCTGCTTCACCTGTGTACCTGTGTCACCCTGTGTACCTGCATCACCTGTGTACCTGCTTCACCTGTAGACCTGCTTCACCTCTGTACCTGCTTCACCTGTGTACCTGCTTCACCTGTAGACCTGCTTCACCTGTGTACCTGCTTCACCTGTGTACCTGCATCACCTGTGTACCTGCTTCACCTGTAGACCTGCTTCACCTGTGTACCTGCTTCACCTGTGTACCTGCTTCACCCTGTGTACCTGCTTCACCTGTGTACCTGCTTCACCCTGTGTACCTGCTTCACCTGTATACCTGCTTCACCCTGCCTATACAGGGGGTGGGGGTGTCACCTGCTTCACCTGTGTACCTGTTTCACCTGTAGACCTGCTTCACCTGTGTACCTGTTTCACCTGTAGACCTGCTTCACCTGTAGACCTGCTTCACCTGTATACCTGCTTCACCTGTGTACCTGTTTCACCTGTATACCTGTGTCACCTGTGTACCTGCTTCACCTGTAGACCTGCTTCACCTGTGTACCTGCTTCACCTGTAGACCTGCTTCACCCTGCCTACACAGGGTGGTGGGGGTGACACCTGTGTACCTGCTTCACCTGTATACCTGCTTCACCTGTGTACCTCCTTCACCTGTAGACCTGCTTCACCTGTAGACCTGCTTCAGCTGTGTACCTGCTTCACCTGTAGACCTGCTTCAGCTGTGTACCTGCTTCACCTGTAGACCTGCTTCACCCTGCCTATACAGGGTAGTGGGGGTGTCACCTGTAGACCTGCTTCACCTGTGTACCTGCTTCACCTGTGTACCTGCTTCACCTGTAGACCTGCTTCACCTGTGTACCTGCTTCACCTGTAGACCTGCTTCACCTGTGTACCTGCTTCACCTGTGCACCTGCTTCACCTGTGCACCTGCTTCACCTGTGTACCTGCTTCACCTGTAGACCTGCTTCACCTGTGTGCCTGTGTCACCTGTGTACCTGCTTCACCTGTGTACCTGCTTCACCTGTAGACCTGCTACACCTGTGTACCTGCTTCACCTGTAGACCTGCTTCACCTGTGTACCTGCTTCACCTGTAGACCTGTAGACCTGCTTCACCTGTAGACCTGCGTCACCTGTAGACCTGCTTCACCTGTGTACCTGCTTCACCTGTAGACCTGCTTCACCTGTAGACCTGCTTCACCTGTGTACCTGCTTCACCTGTAGACCTGCTTCACCTGTGTACCTGCTTCACCTGTAGACCTGCTTCACCTGTAGACCTGTCACCCTGTGTACCTGCATCACCTGTGTACCTGCTTCACCTGTGTACCTGCTTCACCTGCTTCACCTGTAGACCTGCTTCACCTGTGTACCTGCTTCACCTGTAGACCTGCTTCACCTGTGTACCTCCTTCACCTGTAGACCTGCTTCACCTGTAGACCTGCTTCAGCTGTGTACCTGCTTCACCTGTAGACCTGCTTCACCTGTGTACCTGCTTCACCTGTAGACCTGCTTCACCCTGCCTATACAGGGTAGTGGGGGTGTCACCTGTGTACCTGCTTCACCTGTGTACCTGCTTCACCTGTAGACCTGCTTCACCTGTGTACCTGCTTCACCTGTAGACCTGCTTCACCTGTGTACCTGCTTCACCTGTGTACCTGCTTCACCCTGTAGACCTGCTTCACCTGTGTACCTGCTTCACCTGTGTACCTGCTTCACCTGTAGACCTGCTTCACCTGTACACCTACTTCACTTGTAGACCTGCTTCACCTGTAGACCTGCTTCACCTGTACACCTACTTCACTTGTAGACCTGCTTCACCTGTAGACCTGCTTCACCTGTACACCTACTTCACCTGTAGACCTGCTTCACCCTGTAGACCTGCTTCACCCTGTAGACCTGCTTCACCTGTATACCTGCTTCACCTGTGTACCTGCTTCACCCTGCCTACACAGGGTAGTGGGGGTGTCACCTGTGTACCTGCTTCACCTGTGTACCTGCTTCACCTGCTTCACCTGTAGACCTGCTTCACCTGTGTACCTGCTTCACCTGCTTTACCTGTGTACCTGCTTCACCTGCTTCACCTGTGTACCTGCTTCACCTGCTTCACCTGTAGACCTGTGTCACCTGTGTACCTGCTTCACCTGTATACCTGTGTCACCTGTGTACCTGCTTCACCTGTGTACCTGCTTCACCTGTGTACCTGTGTACCTGCTTCACCTGTAGACCTGCTTCACCTGTGTACCTGCTTCACCTGTGTACCTGCTTCACCTGTAGACCTGCTTCACCTGTGTACCTGCTTCACCTGTAGACCTGCTTCACCCTGCCTACACAGGGTAGTGGGGGTGTCACCTGTGTACCTGCTTCACCTGTGTACCTGCTTCACCTGCTTCACCTGTAGACCTGCTTCACCTATGTACCTGCTTCACCTGCTTTACCTGTGTACCTGCTTCACCTGCTTCACCTGTGTACCTGCTTCACCTGCTTCACCTGTATACCTGTGTCACCTGTGTACCTGCTTCACCTGTGTACCTGCTTCACCTGTGTACCTGTGTACCTGCTTCACCTGTAGACCTGCTTCACCTGTGTACCTGCTTCCCCTGTGTACTTGCTTCACCTGTAGACCTGCTTCACCTGTGTACCTGCTTCACCTGTAGACCTGCTTCACCCTGCCTGCACAGGGTAGTGGGGGTGTCACCTGTGTACCTGCTTCACCTGTGTACCTGCTTCACCTGCTTCACCTGTGTACCTGCTTCACCTGCTTCACCTGTGTACCTGCTTCACCTGTGTACCTGTAGACCTGCTTCACCTGTGTACCTGCTTCACCTGCTTCACCTGTGTACCTGCTTCACCTGTGTACCTGTAGACCTGCTTCACCCTGCCTACACAGGGGGAGGCGCTGTTCCCTCCTCAATGCCCACTCCCACCCTGCACCACCCCCTCCTATCCCCCACCCCTCCTCCCCCCACCCCCCCACCCCCCCCACCCACCCAGTCGCAGGCGAGCGGCCCGAGGCCCTCGCTGGGCCCGAGGCGTCCCAGCGGAGCGCGGCACCGGCGGCGGCGCAGCAGCAGCAGCCTGCGGCCCGCCAACGACGGAGGGGGCGTGGCTGCGGCGGCGGCGGGGGGCGTGGCAGCGGCGGGGGGCGTGGCAGTGGCGGCGGCGGCGGGGGGCGTGGCAGCAGCGGCGGGAGGGGGCGTGGCCGGGGGAGGGAGGGATGGCGACGCTCCTCAGCGGTGGGCGACACCGGGGGATGGAGGTGAGGCCCACGTGGGTGGGGGTGTGGGTGGTGGTGGGGGGGGTGGGGGGGGTGGTGGGGGGGGGTGTGGGGGGGGTGGGGGGTGTGGGGGGGGTGGGGGGTGGGGGGGGTGGGGGGTGGGGGGGGGGGGGGTGGCTGGGAGAGATATTAAGTCCGAAACGTCGTGATTTAATTGTTTGAATCCTTTGCGGTAACGGAAGCTTCCGATCTGGGTCGAATGACCTCTACGGTGAGGATTGTCGCCCTACCCTGTTAGCGCTTTTGACGGGCAACGGGACAAGGGGTCGCAGCTCATCGAGACGCTGACCTTCCTCAAGAGATGCTGCTACAACAACAAGATAATACCCATCAATACAACAACAACAAGATAATACCCATCACTAGAACAACAACAACATAATACTCATCAATACAACAACAAGATAATACCCATCGCTACAACAAGATAATACCCATCAATACAACAACAACAACATAATACCCATCACTAGAACAACAAGATAATACCCATCAATACAACAACAACAAGATAATACCCATCACTAGAACAACAACAAGATAATACCCATCACTACAACAACAAGATAATACCCATCAATACAACAACAACAAGATAATACCCATCGCAACAACAACAACAACAACAAGATAATACCCATTGTGATAACAACAAGATAATACCCATCGCAACAACAACAACAACATAATACCCATCACTACAACAAGATAATACCCATCGCAACAACAACAAGATAATACCCATTGTGATAACAACAAGATAATACCCATCGCGACAACAACAAGATAATACCCATCGCGACAACAAGATAACAACATCATCGATAACATCATCACCAACACCATCAACAACAACAACAGCACCTTATTCTTGGTTCTTTCGGTAAAGTCACGTTGAAGGGAAACAATAAAACAATAAAAAATATATATAAATCAATAGCAATTCTCACGACGTTTTGACTGTAACACAAACAGTCATCATCAGGTGTGAAAACCAACCACCATCACCACCACCACCACCACCATCAACACCAACACGCAAAGACACATTAACCCAAACGACAGCGTCTCACTCTGTCCTCCCTCCCGCTTGTACCTAACAGGCGCCGGCGGTGTCGCGAGGACGGCGAGCGGCAACGTCTACGAGGCGGTGCACACCGCCCTGCGCCGTCTCCGCTACGGCAGCAGCCGCGTCGCCAAGGGCGGCGGCGGGCAACGGCCGGAGGCCATCGACGGCCGCCGCCGCTGCCGCCGCCGCCGCTGAGGGTGGTTCCTCGCCGCGCTTCGGAGCCAGGGGTGGCCGCAAGTCCCTCCCCACGGCGGGCCTATCGGGAGGAGGACCGCCTCCGCCTGGGCCTCGCCGCCTTCCCGCGGACGCTGAGCGTCGGGAGCCGCCCGCCGGGCCCCGCGGCCCCGCCGGCGTCGTCCGGCCCCACGGCGCGCCGCTACCGCCGCCGGCGTTCCCAGCAGCAGCAGCTGCACCAGCAGCAGCAGCTGCACCAGCAGCAGCAGCAGCAGCAGCAGCAGCAGCAGGCGGTGGCGATGGCGGTGGTGGTGCCGTACAGCGTGACCGCCGTGGCGGCGGGAGAGAAGGGCCGCGCGGGGAAAGATGGCGAGGGTAGCGGAGGAGGTGGACGGAGGAGGAGGGCGGCGGCGGCGGCTGCGGCGGCGGCGGCGGCGACGTCCCGGACGAGCCCCCAGGCGCCGCCGCGCAGGAACGTGGCGGCAATTGCGGCGCAGTACGAGAGGAGGGCCGCGGCCGCGCGCCTCCAGGCCTCTCCCAGGCCAGCGGCGAGCGAGCGGGCCCCTTCGCCCAGGCCGAAGGGCGAGCGGGCCTCTCCCAGGCCGAAGGGCGAGCGGGCCCCTTCGCCCAGGCCAGCGGCGATCGAGCGGGCCCCTTCGCCCAGGCCGAAGGGCGAGCGGGCCCCTTCGCCCAGGCCGAAGAGCGAGCGGGCCTCGCCGAAGCCCCAGCCTCGGAGCGCATCGAGGCCCGCGGACGGCGCGGAAGGAAGCGACGGGCGCTCGCCCAGGGCCAGGCACAGGCGCAGGCCGAGCCTGGCCGCCTTCGGTGAGATGGTGAGGAGGGCCAGCCAATCGGAGGCGAGGTCGAAGGGCACGGCGTGCGAGGCAAGGGAGAAGAAGGAGGAGGAGCAGGTCTGACGGCCGTCGCCGGAATGCCCCGCGGGGCTCACGGAAGCCGGACACCCGTGGGTAATAAGTTGCTTCTCGTGTCTCAGCCCGATTGCTCCTGCTGCTGCTGCTGCTGTGGTGTAAAATGACGATTCTCATGCTGAAACGGAATCGCTGTTACCTCGCAAATGGTTTCGGTTTGGCGTTTTAACATCTTAAGAGCCCCCTGTTCCATTGCCAGTCAGGGTAAAAAAACCTTTTTTCTTATATTTTGTTACTGGCAAGGGCGGGAGGTCCCCTGATATTCTCACTGTGATCCCATTGGAGGGGTTTTCTGTCGCTATACCGTCGTGGACATGGGGGATTCGTTCCCCCATCAGTGCTGTTTCTCACGTATGATCAACGAACTTCGCCCGGGACTTGGATTCACCACGCCCGGCCGCCTTTGTCTCCCCAGTGGCGATGTTCACAGCACAGCAGTTACACGTTTGAGGCTGAGTCGACCTAGGGGAGGCCCAGGACCGGTTTAAATATTCGTCACCGGTGTTGGCCGTGAGCGGGAAATCGAACTCGGGTCGCCGGGTTCGTAGCGCGGCGTAGCGCTACCTGCTACACTACCGCTCCACACACACACAGGTGCACACACACACACATAGACACACACATACACACAGAGATACACACAGACACACACACAGAAACACACATACACACACAGACACACACACACAGACACACACACACACAGACAGCGCGCTAACTGCTACACTACCGCTCCCTACACACACAGATGCAGATACACACACAGAGAGATACACACACACACACAGAGATACACATACACACACAGACACACAAATATACACACAGACACACACACACACATACACACACATACACACAGACACACACATACACACAGACACACACATACACACAGACACACACACATACATACACACACACATACATACACACATACACACAGACACACACAGACACACACACATACACACACACAGACACATAGACACACACAGACACACACATACACACAGACACACACACATACATACACACATACACAAAGACACACACACAGACACACACACATACACACACATACACACACACACATAGACACACACATACACACACACAGACACACACAGACACACACACACAGACACACCGACACACACATACACACACAGACACATAGACACACACACATACACACACACACAGAGACACACAGACACACACACATACATACACACACACACATACACACACAGACAGCACGCTAACCACTACACTACTACAATGCGTTAGGCTTCCACGTGCGCGGGTCACGTGACAGGTCTGACGTCACAGCTCACTTGCCGTGCACAAAAAAATATACATTATAAAATAATGCATTATATAAAGTGTAATTTTTAACAATGTTTTGCACGGTGTACAGTCTGGAAAGTACCCGCATGGCAAATTCCCAGTTTGTTGCATGTCGGTAAGTACGCTAAACATTTTGAACAGACACGACACAACACACACACAATCACAACTTTGCGTTTTTACATATATATGGAGATGATCATATTTACCGGGCATCTGTAGCAAAAAATGCTTCTCACGATTCCCCTTCCTTACGTCTAAAAATAAAGATTATCCCCGATCCGATGGTGGCGGATTTCAGTCTCCGCTGTCGGGCGCTGTTTTTGCCCCCCCTAACGGTTCACGTCGTTCTGTATTTTATCGACGCGGGCAGACGTCGCTTCAGCAACCCCCCGATGCTTCGTTTGTTGCCCAGGAGAAGTGGAATCGGTGCTATAAAGGAAGGAGATCCTCTACACCGGCCGTTAGAAAGCCGCCCCTTTGTTTTGGACCAATCAGTTTCGAGGACAATGCCACCGTCGTCGTATTATCACGGTGATGTGTTGTGTTTTTTTTGGGTTTTTTTGGGTTTTTGGGAATAAAATAATAAAAAATATAAAACAATAAAATAATAAAAATATAAAACAATAAAATACTAAAAATATAAAACAATAAAAATATAAACAATAAAATAATAAAAAATAAAACAATAAAATAATAAAAATATAAACAATAAAATTCTCACGACGCTTTCTACTGCAACACAAAGCAGCAATCATCATCAGGTGTGAAAACCACAGCAAGAAAATTTGAAAAATAATAAAATAAAACGCCACTTATTACGAAATTTTCTTGCTGTGGTTTCACACTGATGATGATTTGCTGCTTTGTGTTGCAGTAGAAACGTCGTGAGAATTTTATTGTTTATATTTTTATTATTTTTATTGTTTATATTTTACTTATGTCTATTGTTTCCCTTCTACGTGGTGGTGACTTTACCGAAGAACCAAGAATAATAATTTTATTGTTTTAACAATAATTGTATTGTTTTATATTTTTATTATTTTATGTTTCCCTTCTACGTGGTGGTGACTTTACCGAAAGAACAAGAATATTAATTTTATTGTTTTATATTTTTTATGTATTTTATTGTTTCCCTTCTACGTGGTGGTGACTTTACCGAAAGAACCAAGA